CGCGGGCTATCGGGGCGGGGCGGGGCCGGGCCGGGGCCGGCTTGGGAGTGAGGCTGGAGCCGAGAAGAAGCGGGAGAGACTCGCATCTCACCTGCCTCTGCTTCGGGTTGTGTGCGTGTGTGTACACGTGTGTGCGATATGTACACATACACATCTATACCTACAACCACATACACACACGTATATCTGTGTGTGTGTGTGCGCGCATTATAGTACTCCTCCCTTAACATCCTCCTGGTTAACGTCCTTTCGTTATTACATTGCTGATCTGCAGGAAAACAGACTCGTTTAAACTCGTGTAATGTTCAGTTTTAACGTTGTTTGGCCGCAGCTTCACTCTTTCTAGCACATTGTTTTTCCCAGTGTAATCTCTCTTTTATTCAGTGAGTGACGGATTGGAATTTAGACCAAAGTACAATGGATTCGCATAACATCCTTTCACTTAGTTGCATTTTTCAAGAACCTAACTACGACGTTGAACAAGGCGTGGCTGTATATAAAGAGACTCATGTCATGAACTCCTGCTAGGTACATACACATACATATAACGTGTGTGTGGGTGTGTACAGGTTTCCCTTGCTAACCATGGTTTTGAGTAGCCACGCTTAATATTATATATACCATTTGGCTACCATGGTATACAGTTTTGAGTAACTGTGTTCTGTTTTCCCATGTTGCTTTGCACTTACGTAGAGCTTGTTCTTCTGTGGATCTCGTGTGTCATTATGAAGTGCCACATGTCAAATTAAGACAGGTTCTTTGCGTAGATGTGATATCTTTTATTAAACCAACTGAGTAGTTGGAAAAAGTTCTTTGCAAGCTTTTGGGCTCAATCACCCTTCTTCAGGCATAGGGAGTCTGCTGCTCTGAGACTCCAAGGAACGAGAGAAGCTAAGAGTGTGACAGGATGTCAGTGAGAAGGTAAATAGCTGGAAATTAGGAAAACAAAGAGGTGGGGGCGGGGGGGGGAGCCAAACTTGAGTAATGGAGACTCTACAGTAGTAAATTTTCAAGGAAAAAAAGAGGCTGTCTGCGAAAAAAGTAAATAGCTGGAAATTAGGAAGACGAAGGGCAGAAAAGGAGGGGAGGAAG